GCAAAAAGAAACTTTATTCTTACGTGTCATGAAATGCATGATGGTAGTGGAACCAAAAAGCAGGGAGGCAGGAAAAGCAAGGTGGACTGAACAAAATGTATTAACAAAAAAACACTTGCATGGGCATGCTGGGAAAACTAAATAATGCAAACAAAGTCCCGAAAAGATTCAAAGTAACAAACAAAAACCCATTAGAGTAACACCAACGATCCGACCCCGCGGACTGAACAAAATGTATGAACAAAAAACACTTGCATGGGCATGCTGGGAAAACTAAATAACGCAAACAAAGTCCTGAAAAGATTCAAAGTAACAAACAAAAACCCATGACAGTAACACCAACGATCCGACCCCGAGTGGTTGGTGTGTCAAGAAAAGAGCTAGTGACATGATGACCAACCGGTCCGATACTGGAGGAGAAGCCCTCCAATGCCACCTGTTGGTCACAAACGGTACAGAACTGTAACATTAAGCGTCACCGTTTAAAAATTTATTTCCGTTAAGTATCGGCAAAACCGGTTGTCAATTTTCTGTTCAGCGAGGTTGTCGGCATCTGTTAAATGGTACTAATAAAGTCACATGTAATCTACCGTAGTTACTTATTAAATCAAGTCATCGGTCACTTTTAAAGTCAGGTCATCCGGAAAAGAACTAAGTTACTTTTTCATCGCGCAATCCGTTGAAAGCTGGATGAGTGAAAATCGGGCATTTGATGTTCTGTTCCACCTTGGCGGCCACCAGCTATAAAGTAAAAGTACTCTTCAGTACTTCTAATTTTCCCTTTTTTACACAACTATCTGTACTGTGCTCAAGATACATAGCGTGAGTACTTTTGCCACCTGTGCTTGAAGCCATTCCCCGTTTGGTCAAGCGCACGCGTCTCTCTGCAGCTCATGATACAACTGGACTCTGAGTCAGCAGGGGATTACACACTCCAGTCACGTTTTGTGGACGATGTGTATTCATGCACACACACTTACACACACACACACACACACACACACACACACACACACACAATCCTCCAAATGCCCCCTGACACGCACAGACTGAGCGGAATGAATCTAATACGCATCTTCATAACAGCCTGAAATGATCTTGTTGACGAAATCAGTTCTGCCCATCTGCACTAAATAAGAATATTAACAGCGGATGGATTTTGAACATCCATTTAGGTCTTCCAACGGAGTATCATGAGCAACTTAAAAGACGGATTTTCTGACAATGAACAAAACAGGAAGTCTTTGCCTTGAGAAGACACTTGATTTGGGACACCTGCACAATCTAATGAGATACGATTCTGCCAGGCATTGTGCGGATTGATTGAAAATTGAGGACAGCAGAAAAAGAAAAAAACCTGGAGGCAGATACAATTCAAATTCAATCGGCGCCTTGCTTCATTACAAATATTCATTGTTGATTATTGACTGGTAGAGATTTGAAAATCTGGACCGGACACTTCAAGTTGGTATCGCAGGAAAATATCATTCAGGATAAATACGCCGATTAACTCATACACTGCTGTGGACGTTTATTCATTTGAGTCAACGTTTTATAGTTAGAAAACAGCATGAGCTTTTTTCATCAGGTGAATTCTTGACTGCTACAAAAGCTTTCTACGGAGATTCGACAGCCTGACAACGACTTGATCATAGCGGCAAATAACAGTGTCGGCAGACTAGAAATGCTAACTTGCATCGGACACCTTCCGACCTCCAAAGTCTACATAATAAGAATAAATAATAAATAATAAATGGCAAACAAGAGGGGACCAGATACAGAATCCTGCGGCACCCCCTCACAGACAGTGACATATTCAGTGCACATACCATCAAATTCCATGCGCTGGGAACTATATTGCTGAGGTAATTTGAAAACCAGGCAACTGTGTGTTCTGAAAAGCTTTTTTTTTTTTTTTAATATCATGCTCAGCGGTGTCAAATGCTTTTGACAAATCAACACTCTAATTAGTGCTGTGACGGTACTGTATATACTCCATTGGGTTGTACGTAGCCCCAAATGTACAGCTTGGCTGTGATTGGAAGATTGCCACAAGAAACCTTGATAGATGCTCCACATCTAATTTTTACCCGTCAAGTTAATCTCGCTCGCGGTATATTTTGTGGAGCAATCCTCGCACTGAAGTGTTTTACGTTTGATGGAGAAGTCTAGTAAGGAGAAGCTTTCAATCCCGGCTGAATTGCTAACCCCCCTGCGACTGAAGCAGATTTAAGAGGTAGAAGTAACTTCACCCCAGCGTTCACCACTTGCAACATAAAAGGGAAAGAACTCCATGCCGTCAACTTTGAAGTCGGCCATGTCATCTTTCCTCTCAGGAGTCCTCGAGCTGAAGACATCGAGAGTTAAGGTTGCCGTAGCGATAGTCTGTCCCTCTCTGTTTCTTGGGGGGGACCTTTCATTTTGTTTGTTCTCCAGGCTTTTCCTGGCCTTTTGCACCCATGCGCCACCCAGTGCAGCACGAATTCATTGCGGCTGACATTTAGCCTGCGGCTCCCTCGCGCCAGATACGAAACAGTGACCCTGATGGGGCAACAGCCTGCGTTTTTTGTTTTTTTCCAGCTCCACACAAATCTTCAGGAAATGGATATGGACAATGGAAGTGCCAAGACTCCAGGTGGCATCTACCTCGCGCTGGAGCAGTTTTGCAGTTTTAGTTGCGCTTGTTCTCAGAAGGCTACAAAGGGCTGTCAAATTTGAGGTAAGTTTCCATGGGAAGTTGTGGAATTTTGGAGAGATTCCAGCTTGGAAACATTGCATCAGAATTAAGGGAGTTAAGTAGCAACATGACAGTCTTTCAAAGTTTGGTTGTGTTTGAGTCTGCGTCGATAGCCACTTCAAGCTGTGTAAAATGCACAGGAAAGAAATTGAGTTGTTTTTTTTGTTGTTTTTTTTTTTTTTTTATCAGGAAAAAAGGGCCTATCTTTAGAGATAAGGTGAGAAGCTCGGTCATCCGGGAGGGGCTCAGAGTCGAGCGTGCTTCTCCTCCAATTCCCATATCTGTTGTTTCTGTCTACTGTTCTGCTTATTTGGTAAAGATTTGATGAAAAGCAGTATATATTTTTTAAGATATTAGCCCCAAACAAAACTCAATGTGATATTCTTCACAGGAAGACCGATTGACTTTTTTTTCTGTCTGTGCTAAGCGTTGGTATTTCTGACCACATCAAATCACACCACATGCCCAACGCAATCACATTTCTGCAAACGGGAGGATTTCTCACCAGTACACAATCTAAGATCGTTCAATTAAAAGGTTTGACAAGTTCTCCACGTGGCCCCCCCACATACTGAGGTCCGAGCCGCAACTCTTATCTAATGGTGAAAGCCGGATTAAAACAAACGCCAAAGATTATGTTTACTACTCCAAGTGCTGCAATGGCCTCTAAAAGATCCTTCTCGCCAATCCAATATATTTCTCGGAACAACAAAGTTGACCAAAGTGCTGTACAACCAATAAAAAGGTAAAATGTAGCATCATAACATAAAGCACAAGCAAGAAATAAACAACTATTTACGATAAAGCAATAGAACCACAAAATAAAAAGCGCAAATGGCCAACTTTAATACAGGATCCGAGGACGCTAAGGAGGACAAATTGCTTTTTAAAAGTGATTTAAAGGCAAGTTAAGAAATGTAAGATGGAGTCGGCCCATTTAGCGCTCTTGAAGCAAACAATCGGATTTGCAACGGGGTCGTAAAATGTGTTGGGAGGCAAAGGAGAGATGCCAGCACAAATGCAGACACAAAAACGGTCTTGAGACTGCCTGTATTCATACGCGTAAAAATGTTCCAACGCTACGACACACATGATACCCATGACCAGCCTGCAAGAAATAAAAAATTATTCTGTCCCCTCTGAGTGATAGCAGAGTTCTTCAAAAAGTGTCACCATGTGCTCGGGTTGGCCAGTATCACAACTTTGAGCAAAAATATTACAGTTTCACGGCATCACGATATTACAGCTCTAATACCATATTGGCCCAAATATAAGACGGCCCTGATTATAAGATGACCCCCTCTTTTTCAAGTCTTAAGTTTGAAAAAAGACTTTTACAACACCAAATAAATTTTTATCCAGAAAATAATTACAGTACATCTGAAACAAATGATTATAACAATATATTTGAGAGAAAAATCATCTTGAAGTTTACACCATAACGTCTCCTCAGCTGCCGGTTAACATAGCCGATCTTCGACACACTTTTCTCCATATTGTCGCTATGTTTCTCCATTTTCTGTTGTCTCTTCTATCATTTTCTTCTCTTTTCTTTCTTACCGCTATTTTTTATTTTTCTTCTTCGTGCTACTGCTATTTTTACTTTTATTCTTCGTGACAGGGGTTCGCTTTGGCCTGGGGAGTCAAGTTCAGCATTCGCGTCAAAGATATCTGGCGCCATCTAGCGTCGTGACTGGGTTTCATGTCTAGATCCCGAATATAAGACGACCCCCACTTTTTCAGTCTTATTTGCATGCAAAAAACACCGTCTTATATTCGGGCCAATACGGTATGTCTTATTTTGAAATGTACGCGGAATTAACTTTGTTCTTTTTTTTTTCCGTTGAACATGCTTAGGTGCGATTTGTTGCCATCGCAGAAAATGATGACTACTTTGATCTTCCAGGTAGATCTTGTTTGTCGGCGAGCTAGATTACATCATATTAGATTATGACAGACAGACAGACAGACAGACAGATAGATAGATAGATAGATAGATAGATAGATAGATAGATAGATAGATAGATAGATAGGGATGATGAAACAGGAAACTTGAAGAGTAATCACTGTCTACTTGTTCATTCTTGTTGCGTTCATTCCTCCACATGTAAAAAGTGAATGAAAGCAACCCACAGCATGGCCACAATCCACTGAGAGACTCAGTGATAGCGCACAGACTCACACATTCATATTCGCTCTCTCTCACTCACACACACACACACACACACACACACACACACACATGCGCAGGCGCGCACACGCTCGCACACACACACGCACACCCACACCCACACTTCCTCATCATCCTCCTCATCATAATCCGCCTCCCTGCGCAGTTTGGTTGGGTTTGGGTTTTGTGTTCACAGGCACTCACTTAGTGACGCCGGAGCGAGCAGACACGCTGGCAACTTCTCTGGATCTTTTCTTTTTTTTCCCCCACAGCCTTCTGTTCTGTTTTTTTTTTTGTTTGTTTTGTCCGGCGAAGGAAATACCGCAGCTTTCTAAATGAACGCGATGGTCATTTTTAACAGGGCGCGCGGATGTATGCTTTGTGATAGGTCCGCGTATATTTTGAGCTCAACAAACACTTGAATGGGCGAGTGCGTTTTGGGTAAAAGTTGTTTGTAGCAGGAGTATTCCCCGCCCCGCTTTCATTCTCGGAATTAGTGTGAGGGAGAATGCTGGCCGAACTGGTCGCGCTCTTCTACCTGCTCAGCTCGGTTGCGAGCCAGCAGGAAGCGGCGGCCGCAGCCACAGGTGGCCGCTTCGTTTGCAACGCCATCCCCCCGGGAGCCGAGCCCGGCTGCGGCTCCTCGCCGACGGGCAACCGCTTGCAGATGAGCAGCCCCGCGGAGGACGAGCTGCGCAACACCATCATCCGGCTCCGCGAGACAATCTTGCAGCAGAAGGAGACCATCGTCAGCCAGCAGGGGACCATCAAGGAGCTCAACTCCAAACTGGCGCGCTGCGAGGCGGCGGCGGACGACTCGGCGCAGCCGGGCAAGTCGCGGGGTCACGGCTCCAGGAGGAAGGAGTACGGCAAGAACACCATGGGGGACCTGCCGCGGGACCCCGGAGAGACCATAAATCAGCTTGGGAAGACCATGCAAAGCCTAAAAGGGCGCTTGGAGAGCTTGGAGGTAAGACGCATGCCGGTGCGTAAATGTGCAAAAGAGCAGCCAGGGGCGTTTCTAAACACAGTGTGCGCCCCACCCCACCCCACCCAAAATCCCTACACTGTAAAAAATGGTGCTGTTGAATGTAATCCATTTTAATTTGTCAAGTGGTTGCGTAAAACCAAGTCATCTGAATCTAGGACAAGAACTAAGCAAAACTATCCACCCATCCATGCATTTTCTATACAGCTTGTCCTCATTACATTCTCATCCAAACTGAATTTGAGCGAGAGGCAGAGTACAAGTTGCCAAACGGTCACGGAGCACATCAAGACAAGCAACACTTCATTCAGACCTTTTTCTATCGTAAAGTCTGCAATGAAGCTAACGTGCATGTCGCTAGCAGAAGGGTAGCTAGCTAAACATTCATCCTGTGTGGTGCGTTGATATGAATACATGAATGATTGACCACTGAAAACAATATTCACACACAATGTATTCATGACAACAAAAATAAACCAGAAAGGTGAAAAATGTTAAGAACGCTCAAAAATGCTTTGACGACCAATATCACCAATATGACCAATATTTTTTTTCTAACGAATTTAATATTTTGATTTTGTAAATCATTGTGTACACGTAATTAAACTGAATATGTAGCTTGTCGCTGCAAGGTATTTACCAACTGCTTGGTTTTCTGGGGGTAGAAAAGCGGGTAGAAATTACTGAGCATACGTTTGCATTCTTGCAAATTCACGTTCTCGCAAGAGTAAAAAGACCTTAAAATCACTGCCCCCATAAGCGAGGATAGATGCAATCAGTTCAACTTTTTAAAAATAAATGTTTTGTAAAGGTCTCAAAATAAATCAAGAAATCGATCATCACTAATCGTTCAGACCCATTGTTCCACTTAAAACTCAGATTTTTGCCTCTCAAAAGTAACTTATTCTCTGATTACTGTGGAACCAGTCATTTGCAAACATCCGATTTTAATTTGGAAAACAATCAGTTTCAAAATGATTGGTGAATGCATCAATTTCTTGCTTGAGAGATTGCTTAATTGTCCTTAAATTGTGTTTGGTTTTTTTTAATCACCAAACTATATCAAAATGAGTTGCCTCTCAGAGCCCCCTACTAGCCACCAGCTAGCGACAGCTAGTACGGATACACTATACAGGATGTTCCCAACACTTTGACATTTCATTGTCTAAAGAGCATGTACGTGCCATCATTTCATCATTGATAGAAGCCAATACTAATCGTATCTCCGAACCCCATTTGGGACATTCCTGAAACTCAACCTGCCATTGCAGTGATGGGGAGTTCCAGTTGTGCCGTTGATGAGGACCAGGGGCCCTTCTCTCGGGGGCCCCTGACCAGCCACCAGCAGGCAATAGGAAGGGGATCGTTGCAGTGGTTAAAGCAGTGTCCAGAATCTCGACGTGTCACTACAGTGTCTACCTTTCCAGTTGCGTGGTTGTCTTTCGGGGCCCCCGGCTAGCCACCAGCCATTGTGTCATCATTGATATGGGTCAGTATTAGCCCCCTCTCAGGTCCCGCTTGAGCTCCGGGCCCGAGGCAATAATAATAATAATGTTGGCTGCCCTGTTGCGGCGTCTCCGCCTGCAACTGTCACACCTGCTGTAATTCACTTTGAAGCATTCGCACGTAAGCGGGGGATGACGTCAATAAGGGCCCCACTGGATTTTGAGCGGTGAACAACTGCTTCTCGTCCGGCTTAATCATACATGCGGTGCACAAGGAGTCATGCGATGTGTGTGATTCATAGCGTTGTCATGCCAATGTCACAACTGCTTTTGTGATGAAGACACCTCCAAATAGAAGGAAGTTTCATGTCGAGAGGTCCGCCATTCCATGCCCCCCCTCCCCCCAAGATAAATGGGATTTCAGCGGCCCTCGGTTTCTGCCGATAATGTCCATTGATGATTATTCACAAATCTCATCGCAGCCAGTTTCACACTGTACTCAGCGGCAGTGGTGTTTATATGAGCTTATTTTCGGTTTTACACATCCATCCTCATGGAGGGATTTTAATCTCAAAGAGTAGCACGTTCAGACACAAGAGCAGACTGGGGTCGAGTTACACAACATTCCGTGCGATAACACATCAAGTGAGATACGGACTAAAAAAAAAATCTCCACTACTGCTAACAGGTCACTGAAAAGTGAGGCGCTGGACAAGGTAGAAATACAAACTGGCTTTATCTGGTATTGAGAGTGCATTTTTTTGCCATCTGCTACCTTTGGTCAGACATACTCTCAATGATTGATTGAATTCAGTGCTTATACTGTGTGCTGCAACACTATAACATGTCTTTTTTTTTCTTTTTTACCCCTGCTTGAGCTGATCCCTCTTCATCTTTGGTTTGATTGGAAGCTTTAATGCCCATATCGACTCCCCACTACATAATAGATACAATATTTCGTTACATTTATACATCAATCGAACCATCGCAGCTTGATTTAATGACGAATGAGAACAGGAGGCTCCCCTCGGCAATCAAAGCTCGTCCGCACACTGTTGAAAATGCAAAATGGAATGCGGCGGAAGCGAAATCTCAGGGGGTTGAAGTGATGGGACTTGGGGAAAATTTCACAGGATTTCAACAAAATCTCATGAGAAATGGCAGTTGGACATGTTTAGACACCGGACACTTAATCAGAGTTTGTAATATGGGATAAAAAGAGCATGTGTCGCAATCGTGAGAAAAGATTGTTTTTGTTGTTTTATAGATTGACGTGGGCGGCCCGGTGGTCCAGTGGTTAGCGACCACACAGTGCAAAGGTACCGGGTTCAATTCCAGCTCCGGCCTCCCTGTGTGGAGTTAGCATCTTCTCCCCGGGGCCTGCGTGGGTTATCTCCGGGTACTCCGGTTTCCTCCCACATTCCAAAAACATGCATGACAGGCTGATTGAACACTCCAAATTGTCCCTTGGTGTGAGTGTGAGCGTGGATGGTCAGGGTTCCCACTCTTCCACTTGCTTTTTATTTATGGACCTTTTAAGGACTTTTGAGGGCTAATTTAGCCATTTTTAAGGACTTTCGCCATTGAGCAGAGGATTCACGGTGGATTTAATGAACAGAAAGCCACATATCACTGAGCTGGTGTTCAAATCATTGCTGTATTGCATGTAGCTCAACAGCGGGGTTTGAGGGGAAGGGCGCCAGGCGCATTTTCCGACAAAACTATTAATTGAAAGGGTGGGGAAAATTACATACACAAATGAAATGAAGACCACATGTTAATTTTTATGGATTTTTATTGATTTTAGAAGCTTTCCCTGAAAATTAAGGACACTTAACATAATTTTACAACTTCTTTTTTATGGATTTTTATGAACTTTAAGGACCCGTGGGAACCCTGAATTGGTTGTTCGTCTCTGTGTGCCCTGTGATTGGCTGGCAACCAGTTCAGGGTGTCCCCCGCCTACTGCCCGAAGACAGCTAGGATAGGCTCCAGCACCCCCGCGACCTTTGTGAGGATAAAGCGGATCGGAAAATGGATGGACGGATGGATAGATTGACGTGTCGCAAAAGGATGTGAAGCAAAGAACACATACCTGAAAAATGTAGAATCATAAAGCATCTTTGCTGAACTTCTTTTCACAACTGGATGACAATTAAGAATATTTGAATGCGAATCATCCTCTGTGGTGTTAACAAAGGCTTTATGAAAGGACATTTTGACGCTGCATTTATATGGCAAAGGTCATCAGCTTCCAAACGCAATGAACAATCGCGCAGGTGATTATGATGATGACTGTAACACGTGGCTCCCCCTTTCACTAATCGAGGCCACGTTGCTTGCACACAGCTGATATTTACAATACTTAACTTTATTGCCAGCTTACGGCAGAAGCAAATTGGATAGCGGCATCGCGCAAGAAAGGATTAATCAAACTCGGCGAACGGGAACGGGCCAGATGGGCGGGATCAACAACAAAATGACACGTTTTGTAGCGGCGTGGTCCAACGGTAAGCTCGAGCATGGACCTGGTGTGAAGTCTAGGTCATGTCGCACACACACGTGCACACACGCACACACACACTTTTTCTTCTATTTTATTTCAACCTCAATCCGGCCGTGGGTGTTTGGTATATCAGCAAGCAGGCACAGGTGCATACTGTCTCTCCATATGTATTAATAGTTTTTTTTTCCTCCTATGCCTTCCAGCAGCAGAGTTTGCAACTCCCCGGCATAAATGTGTCAGCTGGCAGTGGTCCGGCACTGACCCCTTTGCCGTCGCAGCTGCGGGAGCTACTCGGGCAGCGTCTGGGACTTCTGGAGACGCAGCTGCTGCGAAAGGTGGCCGAGCTGGAGGAGGAAAAGAGCCAGCTTTACAATGAAACGGCAGCCCATCGCCAACGCACCGAGAATGCGCTCAATTCGCTTTTGGAGAGGATCACAGAGCTGGAGAAAAGTAAGTGAGACAGACGGAGCTGTGAAAATGCCGCTTACTTTCAACGCCAGAGACATTTAGCAGCAATTAGTCAGTGCCTCTGCAAGTGGAAGGTGATGATGGTGATGACGAAGGTTTGGTTAAAAAACACTTTTTAAAGTATTCCTCGTCACCTATTCTCAGGCTCTCGCTGTGAAGACATGGCAGACAAAAAAAAAAGAAGTTCTCCAAATAAGAGTGCTTGCTTCAAGGTGTCGGTCACTCCCCAGTTGAAGTTGCTCGTGAATCAACAGCTCCACGTACTTTAATTGCACTTTTTCCGCACAGATAATTTCTTTTTCCTCTAAATTGTTGTTTGACACATTGATTTTGCGTAAATGTCGCGGCAAGAAAAGCTAATTTTTCATTTCACCCTTTCATGCACCAACTATGATAACCTGTAACCTGATAACATGATAGTCTGTCCACTGGAGTGACCGCTGCCCCTGAAAGGGTTCAAAAAAATATTTCAAAGCAGTGTTAGTTCAAATATTTTTCTTTTGGTGCTGTTTTTGAACATAAATAAGTTTCGATAGGAATACCGTTAAAGAGTCGCGGTACTGTTAAAATCTTAAAAACGACAACCCTCACTAGCCTCTTCTGGCTTTTATTTCTGCTGGAATTACAATATCATGTTACTATGGATTACATACGACAATTTGAAATTTTGGTTCAGACTTTAGCAAGCATCATGGAACTTGACATGCTTGATTTGCATACCTGTCAACTTGTATGTTTTCCCCGTATTTAATACATTTTTGTATCACTTCAAATCATGTACGGCGTATTACCACTTTTATACGGAAAAAAAAAAAAGGAATTGTGAACCGATCTCACAAAGACCATTTTGGCTCAAATCCAGATGGTCTCACCTGCTGGTAGCCAACGACAATGCCGTCGTCGATCGCTACTATTGTCACGGCAAACCTGCAAAAGTAATCCTCAATCGTATATTTTTTTTCCTTCGCTGCGTACGGTCGGATTGATAAAGCAAGATGTGCGCATGCGCGGTAAACCGTTGTACGAGTTTTTGTTGCTTTGTAAGGGGAATCGTAATCATTTATAAGGGCAGCTATTAGCCGAGGTTAACAGGTATGGATTTGCTTTCGTGGGCCACATAACATTATGTGGGGGGCCAGATTTGGCCCCCGGGCCTTGACTTTGTCTTCTAGACTAACACAATTGGCACAGTAATGCGCAACTCCTTGCGGAAGACGAGACGACAAGCTAAAGTCTTTTTTTTTTTTTTAATAATATTATAAATTGACACATTGCTGTGGCAGACAAGCACACATCAAAAAAAAAAGTTTAAATAACGTTATAATTGTATTCGGTGTGCCTCAACAGGCTGTAGAGCATCTGAGGCTTGATTGATTGATTCAGTCGAAGCAATTTCTCCCAATTGAGGCAGGTGAATACATAAACACATCCACCTGAAACAAAATGAATGTCAAGTGTAATTTTGTCTCACCAACGGGGGAAGACAAACAAATGTTTTTGTTTTTTGTTTTTTTTCCCGAAGACGGTGTCATCTTTTCCAAATGTGTCTCACTCCTACTAAAATATGCATCGTATTTTGCTGCAGCAACATCATACGGTCCATATTTTGGGAGCAGAATTCGAAACTCATATGCTCCTCTTTTATTCTCGTTTCTCACGAATGAGCCTCCGAGTCTGTTCCGATCATGCTCAGTCAAGCGTTGTTGATATTTACCATATGTCTTGCTTACTTTCCACGTCTTTTAAATTCTTAACTCGTGTAAGTTTGATTTTTCCTGTTTAACGAGTCAATATTTCAGAATCCGCTTGGCTACGATTTGAGTGCACTGATGTTGTGATGGAGTCTTTTTTGTTTTTTTGTTTTTTTTGGCGTGTGTGTGTCTCTGACAAAGAAACAAATTTGTCAAAATCACAAACCAACACTTGCAGGGACTACACCTGCTCAAAACATGGGAATCTGTCACCATTTTGTACAAAAAGATTGAAATGCTTTCACTCTGTTGCCGCGGTCTTGAAAAACTTTGCCATTCATCTCCTCGTGAGAGAGCAGCGAGTTGTGCACAGAGCAGCGGGACATGAAACAACTTCAAAAGGTCAAATCACGTCTAATTGAAAAAGGTTACCGTGCGTTTTCACGTCCTCCTAATTCAGGGGTCGGGAACCTATGGCTCGCGAGCCAGGTGTGGCTCTTTTGATGATTGCATCTGGCTCACAGATAAAACTAAATATTCTCGCTTGTTTAATCCATACATCGATTTTTCACTGCTCATGTCCTGTTGAGGGCTGCAGTTGGCGGCAGGAGCAATTTTAATTGGATGATACTGGCCTACGTTGGCCGTTGCTGGGGAAACAGGTAAACGCCCCCTTTTGAATCAGCCCGCTCGGTCATTCGCTCAAAGCTAATCCTAAGACGAATAAGATGGCGGAAAGAAAAAAGATGACGAGTATGGTAGCATTTCAGGACAAATGGACCGAAAGATTCGCCTTTGTGGAGGGATCTCTAATTTGCAATGACAAAATACCATCGATGAAACGGTCGAATAAAGCGGCACTTTGACACGTGCCATGCTACGTTCGCATCAAAATCCCCTGCGGGAGACAGCAGAAAGGAAGCGTGCAAGCTACTTAGCAGGCTACAAGCGAGCCAGCAGCAACTCTGCGTATGGACCCGGGCATAGCTAACTATAATTCCGCTAGTTTTGCTGGATCTTTAGCAAAGGTGAGGAACGGAAAACCATTCACATTAATGTTGGCGGCAGGAGCAATTTTAATTGGATGATACTGGCCTACGTTGGCCGTTGCTGGGGAAACAGGTAAACGCCCCCTTTTGAATCAGCACGCTCGGTCATTAGATCAAAGCTAATCTTTCGACGAATAAGATGGCAAAAAGAAAAAAAGATGACAAGTATGGTAGCATTTCAGGACGAATGGACCGAAAGATTCGCCTTTGTGGAGAGATCTCTAATTTGCAATTACAAAATACCATAGATGAAACGGTCGAATGTAAAGCGGCACTTTGACACGTGCCATGCTACGTTCGCATCAAAATATCCTGCGGGAGACAGCAGAAAGGAAGCGTGCAAGCTACTGAGCAGGCTACAAGCGAGCCAGCAGCAACTCTGCGCATGGACCCGGCATAGCTAACTATGATTCCGCTAGTTTTGCTGGATCTTTAGCAAAGGTGAGGAACGGAAAACCATTCACATTAATGGTGAGTATTATCACAAAATTATTGAAAAGAATACATTCAGAGGCTTATTATATTGACATTTTGTTGAATTCAGTTAAAATAGAGTTTTTTAATATACCGGTACACATATATATATATATATATATAGTCATACCTCAGTTTTCGACCGTAATCCATTCCAGAAGGCTGTTCAAAAACCGATTTGTTCGAAATACCCCCATACAACGAAATAAAAACCCCTGTTGCGTTATAAGAAATCTTTTTCTCTGCTCTTGCCTCGCGAAGAGATTCACTACAACGAAGTCTAATCCGACAGCGACCTCTACTGCTTCGTTCGGAAACGGCAACAGCAACCACCACACTGGTTGACACATGCGCAGTGGTCCAGGAAGTATTTATTATTGTTAGTTTCAGACGCAGCAAGAACGTTGCATTGCTAAAATGGCTACAAAACGGACCTTTGGATGCTAGCAGCTAAGACAAGAGGAGCTCTGACGCTGGAAGAGGGTAAAAGTGATCAAAATGAAAGACGGAGGAAGCAAAATAAAAGACATTATCCAAGAAATTGATGTAAGTGAAAGTGAATACTGATCATCAATTTTGCAATTTCTTTCCCTTTCTATACTGACTACATGAAGTGTCAAATAAGTGTGTGCTCATACACTATTGGAATAAAAATAAAGACTACACAAAAAATAAAGACTACACATACGTTTGTGTGTGTGTGTGTGTGTGTGTGTGTGTGTGTGTGTGTGTGTGTGTGTGTGTGTGTGTGTGTTTACGTCTGAGATCAAATTTGCTACAGTGAAAAACCCCCTGTTGTGAAAAATATCTTGCTGCAAACATGATTTCGTTGTAGAGGAGTTTCACTGTAGCTCTCACTGAAATACATTTCCAAATATTTTGCTTTCATGGCTCTCAAGTCAAAAAGGTTCCCGACCGCTGTCTAATTGGAGCCAATTTGTCCCCAGATAACAACGCCTTCAAGTCACCTGAGGATTTCAAGGTGTCCCTCTCTCTGCGCACCAACTACCTGTACGGACGCATCAAGAAGAGCCTCCCCGAGATGTACGCCTTCACCGTGTGCATGTGGCTCAAGTCCAGCGCCGGTCCCGGGATCGGAACCCCCTTCTCGTACGGCGTGGCGGGCCAGGCGAATGAGATTGTGCTGATCGAATGGGGGAACAACCCCATTGAACTGCTGGTTAATGACAAGGTAGGCCCGGTCCGTTGTTTTCTCACCAGGGGGGGAGAAGACTTCTTATTGCGTCCCGGTTATTTGAAGCCCTGTGGATGTGATGATGCTAATGACCGCGGCGATGCTCATTAAAAGCGTTTTTGCGCGCTTGTTTTATAGCACCCGTATGTACCTTTGAGCACAACAGCGATAAAGGAGAGTCTCTGACCTTCAGCGGTGATTATTTAATTAGCATCTTATGAACATTTCATGCGACTAACCCACATTCCGCATTGGCTCCACAATAACAGTAATTCACTGGAGATTCGCTGTGCTGATTTAAGGGCATCTGCTTTGTGTTTTCCTTCCTGTAAATGCTAATACGGCAAATTTAGTCAGATAATGGTTCCGGGGATCCTTTCATGGAGCCAAACTGCAGCTGTACTATTGTTCATATGTACTACTTATATTTTAGGGATGGGAATTGTCGTAAAATTAAACATTTCTCCGATTTTGTGCTCATCTTGGTGCCGAGGAACCAACTCGAAGTGAGTTGAGGAGTTTCATTTGGGCAAAAGGAGCACTTTGCCACCATCTTGTAAACATCTATAAAACCTGATGTTATGTTTTTGTTTAGATTACATTTGGTGTACTTTTCCGCCATCTTGTAAACACCTATAGCCTGATGTTATGTTTTTGTTTAGATTACATTTGGTTTTTATCACGTAGCGAGGTGGTGGTGGACCCGAAAAAGCAGTTCCACCTATGTGGGCCCCTTGTGTTTAACCAATCAGTTCCCTTAACCCTTTGTGTTTCTTGTTCTGTCATCACTTTGCTTGTATTTTGTTCCCTGGGTTCTGTCTGTCGTCGCCGGATCATTTTGTGTGTGTGTGTGTGTGTGTGTGTGTGTGTGTGTGTGTGTGTGTGTGTGTGTGTGTGTGTGTGTGTGTGTGTGTGTGTGTGCTTTTGTTTGTGTTCGGGTTGGGAGTCTTTTTAAAACACTAATTACATAATGACCAACAGGTGTGCAGCTGCAGGGAGAGCCCTACAGTGCCACCTGTTGGTCCCAAACCGAATCATGACAGTTTTGTTCCCTCGTGTGCCCTTTTTGTTTCCACCTATGTGGGCCCGTTGTGTTTAACCAATCAGTTCCCTTCACCCTTTGTGCCTTGTGTCGATGTTTCTTGTTCTATCATCACTTTGCTTGTATTTAGTTCCCTGGGTTCTGTCTGTCGTTGTCATTGTGTGTGTGTGTGTGTGTGTGTGCGCTCCTGTCATAGTTTTTTGTTTTTGTTTTTGTTACTTTGGTTTCTTGTGGGTTTTCAGGACTTTGTTTGTATACTTGAGTTAGTTTTTCTAGTGTACCCCTGCAAGTGTTTTTTTTATTTTTATAATACATTTTGTTCAGCCCACCCTGCTCGTCCTGCCTCCCCGCTTTTCGGGGTGCTACTCTACCACACCAAAATCATGCCACCTTTTTCACATTTGTGGGAAAATCCTGCAAAGAAACACAAACCAGATTGCCACTACAAATATTAAACCCAGTGTGCTAGCAATTAACGTACCGTACTTTTGACCTTGTGAACTTTGACTTCCTTCTCACCCTTTTTGTCATTCTTTTTCGCATTACTCGCACACACGTTTGAAATCAAGATTTCCATTCAATTTCACTCGCATTTCAAGTAGCATTGAGCAGATTGATGGATGTAGAGTAGCTTAACTTCCAATATACACAATGCCATCACTTTGTACTTCATTAGACACCAAACTCGTTGACGCTGCTTCTGTAGCATCGAGCTAATTTGGCCGTTTTGATTTTGTTTGGTACATAGTCGAATGTTCCCTAAACCGGAGAGAGAAAAGTATTTTTCCCCCCGCTGGTTTGCTTACTTTGGAGGGCATACTAAGGCGCAGTCAGTCAGCTCTCCTCACTGCCTTGCCTCCGTCATGCATTATACATACGCTCAAGTCAGACAGATGAGATTGACTTCCTTCTCATCCTTTTTGTCATTCTTTTTCGCATTACTCGCACACACGTTTGAAATCAAGATTTCAATTCAATTCCACTCGCATTTCAAGTAACATTGAGCAAATTGATGGATGTAGAGTAGCTTAACTTCCAATATACACAATGCCATCACTTTGTACTTCATTAGACACCAAACTCGTTGACGCTGCTTGTTCCCTAAACCGGAGAGAGAAAAGTGTTTTTCCCCCCGCTGGTTTGCTTACTTTGGAGGGCATACTAAGGCGCAGTCAGTCAGCTCTCCTCACTGCCTTGCCTCCGTCATGCATTATACATACGCTCAAGTCAGACAGATGAGAGGAAGATGGTGCGAGTAAGGGTGGCAAATGCGAAACCCCAATACAAAGGAAAACCAGACTATGGGGGCTGCAGACCTTTGGAGCGAGTGGGGTGGGGTGGGGTGTTCACAGTGTGGGGAGAAAAAGAAGAAGAGGAAGTTATGACAGATCAGAAAGATCGAAGAAGGACGGTGAATAAGACGACCGCGGTCGTGCTGTCATGTATTAACGGGCTCGATTCCACGGAGCTAAGATGAAAGTCACCTCAAGAGTACATAAAGCTGTGTGGTTCGGGGTCTATAGAGCATACCGGTGGTCATAATGGATCACGGCTTGGTTTGGTGTGTTTTGTGTGAAAACTGCATACAGGAATACCGCCTCATTTAACCATCGGGTAGAGCTGTCAGGGCTTTAATCTGCAACGGGTTGGGTCAGTCTTGTTCTACATTAAGACGGTGTTCTGATGGAAATGAGAGCAATAGAGGGCGAGAGAGAGAAGGCGAGAGAGAGGGCGAGAGAGAGTGCGAGAGAGTGAGACAGACAGAGAGAGAGAATGAGAGCTCTGATGCTGCTTGTAAATCTCAAACAGAAATAGTGTTGTGTTCAAAACCACGCTATCAGAAACCAAAACCTGCCTGAGACCAGATCTCACCAAAACAAAACCAAGACTGAGATTGAGAAAAGCCAAGAGCGTGTCAAGCTTAAGGCCAGGACAGGACCAAGACTAGCAGAGACCGCGACAAAGCAGAAACCAGAAAAAATTCCTTTAAAAAAAAAAAAAAAACTTGTAATCATGGGGGTCCCAATGATGAACTGAAATAGTGTGGGTGCGCTCGCTGTTTACTCGTCTGACTTCATGTGGGATCAGTTCTTATGCAACGGAAGCGGTTGTCTGTTTCAACGGCTTGTGTCGTCCAGCTTTCGCCCAAAGTCATCTCTGATGGTTTTCAGCTCCCTGTGACCATGAACAAGAAAAGCGGTATAGAAAATGAACGAATTGACTTTCACCCTTTTGTAAGACGTCTTAGCACCAAGCAGTAAAACGAAGATCGAATCTGAGTCATGCTGAGTCAAATGTCAAAGAATACAAGTGAGTTTTGAGACGGGTTTTAAAGATGGGCAGCGAGGGGGCTTGCCGAATGTTCAGTGGGAGGTCATTCCACAATGAGGATCACGTTTGACCTCGAAGTTTTAGTTTGGCTATTGGAGCAAAGCAATGAAGTGCGCGGCGCGCTGCTGTACGTCATCCTCTGCGAAACGCGAGCTCATGAAGCGGATTGCTTCGTTGCCTTAAGTTTTCATGGCTGCCCATGGAGCACGCCACTTGTTGCTTTCAACGGCGGTGCGGCGCGACGCCGACGTGCGAGCGGCGGCGGCGGCAACGCCACCATTGCTCCCCTGAGCCTGAAAACGCCATTTCAATCCTCCCCTGAAGCCGTTTTCGCATTAAGATCAAATGGAGGTTGATGCCGTTATCTGCTCTGCGCTCTTACCAACGGGGTCATGTCGGACGCGGTCTCCAAGGAGACAGCTGGCCCGGCTTTGTTTGGAGCAATTTGTCTCCCATCTCCTCCGCTGATTGGCCGTCCCTTCATTTGGCCGCACTGTTTCCCTCCAATGGCTTCCCCTCCTGATTCGTTCTTCTTGAGCCCTCTCGCCGTCTTTGCCTGTTTATGTCTCTTCCCCTAATGCCCCAAACTTCCTCTGTCTGTAATTTGGACCCACATAATTGACGCATCTGCTCGCTAAAGCGTTGCGTGGCCGCATCCCGTGCTGCATCGCCTTGTTTCTCGCTCCCTCTCTTCTTGTGAGTCATCAATTTGTGGGTTTTCAGGACTTTGTTTGTATACTTGAGTTAGTTTTTCTAGTGTACCCCTGCAAGTGTTTTTTTTATTTTTATAATACATTTTGTTCAGCCCACCCTGCTCGTCCTGCCTCCCCGCTTTTCGGGGTGCTACTCTACCACACCAAAATCATGCCACCTTTTTCACATTTGTGGGAAAATCCTGCAAAGAAACACAAACCAGATTGCCACTACAAATATTAAACCCAGTGTGCTAGCAATTAACGTACCGTACTTTTGACCTTGTGAACTTTGACTTCCTTCTCACCCTTTTTGTCATTCTTTTTCGCATTACTCGCACACACGTTTGAAATCAAGATTTCCATTCAATTTCACTCGCATTTCAAGTAGCATTGAGCAGATTGATGGATGTAGAGTAGCTTAACTTCCAATATACACAATGCCATCACTTTGTACTTCATTAGACACCAAACTCGTTGACGCTGCTTCTGTAGCATCGAGCCAATTTGGCCGTTTTGATTTTGTTTGGTACATAGTCGAATGTTCCCTAAACCGGAGAGAGAAAAGTATTTTTCCCCCCGCTGGTTTGCTTACTTTGGAGGGCATACTAAGGCGCAGTCAGTCAGCTCTCCTCACTGCCTTGCCTCCGTCATGCATTATACATACGCTCAAGTCAGACAGATGAGAGGAAGATGGTGCGAGTAAGGGTGGCAAATGCGAAACCCCAATACAAAGGAAAACCAGACTATGGGGGCTGCAGACCTTTGGAGCGAGTGGGGTGGGGTGGGGTGTTCACAGTGTGGGGAGAAAAAGAAGAAGAGGAAGTTATGACAGATCAGAAAGATCGAAGAAGGACGGTGAATAAGACGACCGCGGTCATGCTGTCATGTATTAACGGGCTCGATTCCACGGAGCTAAGATAAAAGTCACCTCAAGAGTACATAAAGCTGTGTGGTTCGGGGTCTATAGAGCATACCGGTGGTCATAATGGATCACGGCTTGGTTTGGTGTGTTTTGTGTGAAAACTGCATACAGGAATACCGCCTCATTTAACCATCGGGTAGAGCTGTCAGGGCTTTAATCTGCAACGGGTTGGGTCAGTCTTGTTCTACATTAAGACGGTGTTCTGATGGAAATGAGAGCAATAGAGGGCGAGAGAGAGAAGGCGAGAGAGAGGGCGAGAGAGAGTGCGAGAGAGTGAGACAGACAGAGAGAGAGAATGAGAGCTCTGATGCTGCTTGTAAATCTCAAACAGAAATCGTGTTGTGTTCAAAACCACGCTATCAGAAACCAAAACCTGCCTGAGACCAGATCTCACCAAAACAAAACCAAGACTGAGATTGAGAAAAGCCAAGAGCGTGTCAAGCTTAAGGCCAGGACAGGACCAAGACTAGCAGAGACCGCGACAAAGCAGAAACCAGAAAAAATTCCTTTAAAAAAAAAAAAAAAAACATGACAAGGTGGGGCAGTTAAAGAACATTTTCTTTCTGCAACTCTTTCAAAGCACAGCAACTCAAATGTTAAAAGAAAAAAAAAAAAACTTGAGGAACACAATTCCTTCTATGTCATAAAAAAATGGAGATTTAAAGAAGAAAAGTGAGAGACAGCCGCATTTTGTGACTTATACGTGCACAGTGGGGTCTCGTCTAAAATCCCGCGGTCCCAACACTGCAGAGGTTGCAGTCATTATGGGGGTTGCAATCACATGAATTGAAGGTATTCATGGTTGTAAAGTGTCCTTGAGTGTCTTGAAAGGCGCTTATAAATGAAATGTATTATTATGATTAAATTCTAAAGTGCTTCTCCTATCATTTAATGAAGTTGAAGAATATTCTTTTTTTTTACCAAGTGCTTCTCCTATCATTTAATGAAGTTGAAGAATAGCAAGATCAGCGCTGGTCTCCAATGGAAAATCCTAAATCTGGCCGGTCCAAGACCGAGACAAGACCAAGAATCACAAATCCTTCCATATGACTGACAACTAAGTGAAGTACAGTGAAACTCCTCTACAACAAAATCATGTTTGCAGCAAGAAATTTTTCACAAGGGGTTTTTCACTGTAGCAAATTTGATCTCAGATGTAAACACACACACACACACACACACACACACACACACACGCACACACACACACACACACAGTGGGAATGGTGTTAATGCATGAAGATTTTTTTCACACTAGGGGGTATTTTCGCCCATATAGGTTTCGTTGGAGAGGAGTTTCACTGTGCATCTAAATAAAACCTTGGGCAAATTTTATCCATCTTTTTCTTTCTTTTTCATGAAAATCGATCATATGAATATGCTTGTCATTTTCTCCATGTGCCCTGCGATTGGGTGGTGACCAGTTCAGGGTGTAATGTAACCCAGTTCTCGACAAAAGTCATCCGTGACCCGAATAAGGTGATGCAGTACAGAAGATGGATGAATGGATGGACTTGGACTCTTCGGTTGTGAAGTCATCCTTTGGAAATGCTAATAAAGAGATCAGCTCTAGTATTGCGCGATCCTCAGCGGGCCGTGATGTCACAGCGTTAGGTCGTCGTTTCGCTTTCATCCCGTCAGCAAAAGCATGAGGACACAGTTTTGCTGTCGGCAGGTTGACTGCTTTGAAAGTTCCTTCATGCCTTTGCTGAGTGCGTCACCTGGGTAATGTATATTTTATACGGGTGGCTCATCGAGAGAATTCGTGCGCCGTCTTTTGAAGCCTCCCCCACCTCCCCACCCCAGTCCTTTTAATTGCCGTCCTTGTTACTGGTGCGGCAATTAAACTCACGTCTCTCATCTTGACACCCTTTCACTCTTCTTCTCCCCCCCAACAAACTCGAGTCCAGGTGGCACAGCTTCCTCTTTCGGTGAGTGACGGACGGTGGCACCACATCTGCATCACCTGGACGACCAGAGACGGCTTCTGGGAGGCTTACCAGGATGGCGAGCGACTCGGCACCGGGGACAACCTGGCCCCCTGGCACCCAATTAAATCTGGCGGGGTGATCATTCTGGGCCAGGAGCAGGTGAGGGCTTTAGACGAGCTCACACTGCACACAGCGTGTGTGTGTGTGTGTGTGTGTGTGTGTGTGTGTGTGTGTGTGTGTGTGTGTTTTCCATGCATGACTAAGATCGCAGAAGGCATTTTCCTTCTGGATTTAGCGCCCAGAGTACGGTGCAAAGGGGATAGGGATAAAGTCTTCTCACGCTATTGTGTTGCCTCATTTATCAGCTGCAAAAATGAAGCATTATGTCATATATTTCATTAGCGGTAAGCCGGATGACTAATTGGCTTTAATAATCTTTAGTCAGAAGTCCCTTCCTATTGGATTATGTTTGGTTTAAAAGCACACTCAAAGGGAGATGGATGCATAGATTGGGATTGCTGAAGGAGAATAAAATGAAAAACAAGAACAGTCAGAGCGTGATCTGTGAACTCGCAATTTCCATCCAGCCATTTTCCGATCTGCTCATCCTCACAAGAGTTGCAGGGGGTGCTGGAGCCTATCCCAGCCGTCTTCAGGCAGTTGGCGGGGGACACCCTGAACCGATTGCCAGCCAATCGCAGGGCACACAGAGACGAACCACCATCCGTGCTCAGTCACAGCTAGTGACAATTTAAATTTTAGAGTATTCAATCAGCCTGCCATGCATGTTTTTGGAATGTGGGAGGAAACCGGAGTACCCGCAGAAAACCCACGAAGGCCTGGGGAGAACATGCAAACTCCACACAGGGAGGCCGGAGCTGGAATTGAACTCACAATTTAATTAAAAAAAAAAAAAAATCAATAAAAATCATAATTCTTCAGGCCGCAAGGTCACAAAATGTATTAATACGCCACAAAATCATATCTAAAGCGATGATGCTCAATGCGTGAATCCATTTTTTTTTTCAGGACCCAAGTATAAGCATAAGAGCCAGTTGGATTTTAATTTAGTACCAAAGACACGAACGGGACCAAATCTGGATGAAATTCAAATGTGAAGATGCTTCATTCACATTGCTTCAAACCGGATTTAAAATAAATGAGGATGTGCTATTTTCCTCGGAGACAGCTCTCAGCTCCACTCGTAAGGTGCAGCTCACATTGTAGAATTCCACAGAAAAAAAAATATTCACGCAGACAAAACCCATGGCGATGAAAAAGAAATCCAATGTTGTCCCGGCAGTTTGATGAAAAAAATCAAAAGGAATTCAGTCATACGAATTAAAGTCTGCTGATGTTTTCCTAATCTTGCATCATGCCACCTCAACTCGTGCTTCTCTTTCTGCGAAGGACATAGTTGGAGGTCGTTTCGACGCCACCCAGGCCTTCGTCGGCGAGCTGAGCCAGTTCAACATGTGGGACCGAGTACTGCGGCCCATGGACATCGTAGGCCTGGCCAATTGCTCGGCGTACATGCCCGGCAACGTGGTCCCTTGGATAGACGCCAACGTGGAAGTGTTCGGCGGGGCGACCAAAGCCCCTCTGGAGATATGCGAGGACCGTGCGTTTGATTCCTAATGTGAGATGTCGTCGGAATCAGAAAAAAAAGAAAAAAAAAGCCAAGTATCCTTGTTTATTGTTCAAAAGCAAAGGCGGCAAGCATATCAATATTGTGCGGTCACTCTTAAGATTCACCTGTGTTGGCTTAAATGTGTGTTCATCCAGTCTTAACCGTGGAGAAGACTTTGCACTCATGACCACATGGAGAAGAAAGCGATGGTGTTGACATTCGAGGCCTGATTTACTAATTTGTACGTTCAAAGTCACACAAACAGATGTTGAAGCCGATCTACTAACAGGACCGCATCTACTTAATGGCTACAATGGCCGCACGTTTCATTTGGAAGGAGTATATGTCAATTGATCATTTAACTCGAACAAATGTGAATGATCAAACCTAAGGTGAATCGCCATTGGCTAATTTTGCACGTTTAAATAAGGGACTTACAAATCGCCACGCACAGACATCAGTGCTAGCATAGTACGGGCAAAATGAGAGGCAACGGAGAGAAACCGTACACTTTTGAAATGCCAGAAACAAAAATGACCACAACATTCCATCGATTGATTCGAATTTTGGAGCTTTCTAAACGATGGAGGGATTGAATCATGCCCTCTCACCTTGAGAAAAACCTCTTTAAATTCTCTTATTTCATTTGCTTGTGTCTAGGTTATTTTAGCCCACTGTGGCAATTGGTGCTATTCTCTCCCAGAGCAGATTTTCAGGGGTGCTGCGACAAGTTTTAAACACAATGTTGCTGCCAAACCGTGGGCGCAATCTGACCACGCAATTTAGCACGAATGATCTGAGATCAACTGCAATCTTTATAGCACAATTTGCTAGCATGAACCCGCAACTCAGCGCCCGATATTTGGGATCTTAGTAAATCAGGCCCCTGTGTGTTTTCTCTTCTCTCATTTGACTCCTCATGCATTCCTTCCGCTGACAATGCTGCACCGTGCACGTCCGTGAGTGTTTCGCTCCAGCCGGCTTTCATGTGTTGTGCAAACATGAGTCCCGAGTTAGACGGTGCCACGTGGCACACTTCTAAAGAAAAAAAACAATGAGGAGAAGGCGTTCAGGAATCGGCGGCATTGTTATTATTGTGAAGCATCGTAACGCGGCTGATTGGCTATATAATGCATGAGCGCGAGCAAAGAGCGGAAGTCAAAGAAAGACAGTGCATGCCTTCTTTTAGTCCGCAGGGTGTGTGTGTGCATTCAAAACAAGTCAGAGTGTGGATTATTACGTAAGCGAATGTCTTGTGTGTTACAATACCAGAGATTACCAGCGAGGGAGGACATTTTCATTCTTGTAAATCTATGCTTAATACCTCTCTGCTCCTTGAGCAGCTGCCATATTCCAAACAGCTTTTTATGGACGCTTTCGCTCAGGTTAATAGCGAATAGCTGCCCAGAGCTGGCGAAAACCTGGCAGCGGACGGCTGCCGACGTGCCAGAGGGAACAGCAAGGGATTGACCAGGAAGGCCAAACGTTAATTCCTCCGTCATGAAGTACAGTGCTACCTTGACTTATGAGTTTAATTCGTTAGGTGAGCACACTCGTAACGCAAATCACAAGTATCCGAAATCAACTTTTCCCATTGAAATGAATGCAAATGCCATTAATGCGTTCCAGATTCCCCCCAAAACCACTACCAAAAAGTATGTAACAGGTTTTTAATGAGAAAAATAGTACTCTACAGCAGTGGCCCCCAACCTTTTTCGTGTCACGAAGTAGTTGAGACAAGCGCATGCTGCTCGCGGACCGGCAACCATTTTTTTTCATTGCGAGTTTTAATGCAGTGGTACTGACAACAAAGATTCCTTAAGTTCAAATGTAGAAGCAAATAAGATAATGCAATGAACTACTAAGAAATGGACCAATCAGGAATAATAAATGCGCCTTATAATGTAAACATATTAATTCTGAAGTTACGATCTTACATACGGAGTTGGCACCATTGCTACTTGATCCGGTGGCTGCCGGCTAGTTATTAGCGACTAAACAACAGCTTTCTCCTCCACGTCACTCTGGAGATACCATGAGGGGAGGAACGTCAAAATAGCTTCATCTTCGGAAATCGTGGCTGCCCATCAGCTGCGAGTTTAGCTGTACGTTTGGACAATTTGTTACTTTTACTTTCTGTTTACTGCTTCTTGTTCATTTATTGGCGGATTCTGTTCATTTCAACTTGCAAACCAAGTTTCCGCCACGTCTGATGGAGTAAATTTGCTCACAGCTCACAGGTCTGTCTCCGGTACCGGTTGGGGACCCCTGTTATACAGTATTCTAATTAATACAAACATGTATTAATACACAAGTAGAACATAAAGAATGAAACAGATTTTGCATCATGAGTTCATACTTCAACAGATTTATTATAAAGGACTGCTGTACTAATGCTCGTTTCATTCACCGTCTATAATGCTTCATATTACGTGTTAGCATTAAGCTAGCAAACTGTCATGAGACAGATGTGGTTTGGTTAAATCAACAAAGAGTCGAATTTCTTGTTGTTTTATGTGAAGTTTTACAGGAAATTTCAACTGCGAGTGGCAATGATGCAAAGTCAAATTTTTGCTCACAAGATAAAGCAAAAATCCGCTTGTAAAGGAAGTCAAGGTACCACTGAAATGATGTCGACAATATGAATGGATGTTTTTTTTTCCTTTCTGATGCTGGAATGAATCATCATTGACCCAATCCGCATTTGAAATATGAGCAGCACCCTAAGGACATTATGAATGTCGAAGAATGACACAGTACTATATTTTTTTTTCGGGAGAAGTGAAATCTTCGCACCGCTTGGTGAATAAATGGACTAAAGTTAAAACCCGCATATTCACAGTTGTTTTTGTGCTCAGGCCAAAGCCGTGTCTAAATTAAAAAAAGTGCTTTGTCGCCCTCTTGTGGCATCTATAGGCAGTAGAAATCTTTATGAGTGGGGGTCAGTAACTCATGGATTTTCGCGATTTTCCAATGGCGGGGGATCCCTGTACTTTTGCAGCCTCATTTTTGTTTGTACTTTTGTTTTTGCTAAAACTTGGCTTGTAAGATGCCTTTGAGGTTAATTTGAGGCAAGAAGATAAAAAGCAAGATTTTATGAAGCAAATATATCAAATAGAGGTATCAAAGATGGGGTTTTTTTGGTGTCTTTTCATTCATGCTTATGTCTATGGATATGACGTGGGAGCAATAGACACTGAAAAGAACATTACAATGATGGGAAATGTTCAGGGAATAAAATTATAACTTAAAGGAAAAAAAATATTAATAAGGAATATTAATTGAAATCAATCACATTTTTAGAAGAAAGACAATGCTATTATGAGAATAAAGTTACAACCCCACAAGAAAAAAAACAAGAATAAAGTTGAAATAGATATACTTCGGGAAAAGACGTAATGTTAAAAAAACAAAGTCAGACTTTTTCAAGAAAAACTCGTAAGAATTCCGAGCGTAAAAGCAATAATTTCGGTAAATGATTAGCAATTTGTTACAGAAATTGAAATCATTTGCATAAAACAATGGCATGACTGTCATAAATGTCCTACTTTCTTCTCAGTGGAGCTACATTTTTTTTTCTTTTGTCTGTATCTTATCTACTCCTCGGCACAATTTGAACCTTATCGTACGAGACAGCGCAGAATGTTGTTGTTCAGGCACTCGATTAGGGATTTTGGGATTTGCCTCCATTTTGTATGTCACGCTTCAATGTAAAATCATGCAAGATTGTTTCTTCCCATGAACACATTTTCCTGCCACTCTCCGCTCTTGATTTTTGCTCAATCGAAGTTGATCAGAGTGGAACAAATGGCCTTTTTTCGAAAAACTTTTTTTCTTTGGAAGAAAAAAAAAATTCTGTTGTTTTATTAGGTGTATCTTTTCGGTATTGAACCTGGCATTTGCACTCGTTAACAAAAAAAAAAAAAAAAGAACAAGATCTTTTTTTTTTTTTTTAACATTACAAAAGAGCTGAACAAGAGGGCACCCTTTTCACTTTGATGTTTTTATTTCATCCGTGCATCAATCTTTTATGCAGAGGAACAAAAATCAGTGCTCTGTCAGTTTTAATCACATTTTTTAAGATCGAATTGTGTGTTAGCCGTATCACGAGTGAGAGCAACCACATTCATAAACCAATCTGTCAACAACAATAACAAAAAAATGTGTTTCGTGGGAGCCACAACCATGTTTGCCTTGTTAAAAAAAAAAAAAAAACACAACCCTGAATTCATCCCAATCACTGGCTTCTGATACACTCCATCTGCGTGTCTTGTTTTCATTTTGAGTTTTATTGCATTCTCTGCACATCCCGATGTTTGCAAATGTCAGCTGTAGATCGCTCAATAAACAAACCATTCCAACCTGCACCTATGAATGAATTAAAGCGAACATCTTTTTTCTGAGGTTTACGAGGGGAAACGTTAGGCGGAGATACAAGCGAGTTGCTCCAAACAAGCCTTTGAAGGTTCCTGCTGCATTTTCTTGAATATTCACATTCCAAAGTGGATTTCTTCTGCACAGAAAGCACATCTGTTCACTGCTGCTGACCCAACACACATACGGTGTCATAAAAAAAATGACTGCTGTTGTCACAAACTATTATATTTTATATTTATTGAACATTGACTATTTGGTATTTTATTATTTCATTTCCTTTATGAGGTTTGCAAGATTATTTCAGTTGGAAATGCCCAGGATGCCCATTTCAGGTATTGTAGTTGCCAAACATCTAGCTGGAATTCTCTTTTATATCCATCCATTCAATTTCTGATCTGCTTTAACCTCACAAGGGTCGCGGGGGGCGGGGGGTGCTGGAGCCAATCCCAGCCGTCTTTGGGCAGTAGGCGGGGGACACCCTGAACCGGTTGCCAGCCAATCGCAGGGCACACAGGCACGAACAACCATCCACGCTCACACTCACGCCAAGGGACAATTTAGAGTGTTCAATTACCCTGCCATGCGTGTTTTTGGAATGTGGGAGCAAACTGCAGTACCCGTAGAAAACCCACGCAGGCACGGGGAGAACATGCAAAGCCCACATAGGAAGGTCGGAGTCGGGATCTAACCCACGGCCTCTGCACCGTGAGGTCGACGCACTCACCACTCGAATACTGGACGGCCCTCATTTATATTCAGTGTGTAAATATTCTATGCTCTTATATGGAAACCCTGAACGTCAAGCCTGTATCGGCTTTTGAGGCTGCACATAAAATATATAGTTCTTTCCAAAAAAAATAATAATTAAAAAAATACACAAAAAGATCAACAACTAACGATCAAGTACCAAGGATCAAGTTGCTACAGTAAAATGATGGAATCAGAAGGAATCCAACCGGTTTTCATCCAACTCGTGCAACTATTTTCACATCATGCCAGCCTCCGCCGTCAAGTGGAAATGACGTCAAACTTTGGGCTCTGGGTGGATTGTCGTGGCCTGCCGCAAGTCCGCCGCCGGCCAGCCGGATTTCAACGCGGCCAACACAATGAAGAGACATGGTGACTGCAAGGCGATTACCAATCAGAGCAAAGCGTATTTACATCTTGAATGTTGTTGAGAAATTCAACTGTCTTGCGCGCCAGGCATTTAAGAACCAAAACCAATAAAAAGACGATTATATTAAAAAAACATGTTGGCATGGGACCTTTAAGTATAAGTCCAGCTACTTTTGTCAAAAAAAAAAAACAACCACAATGAAAGACTGCAACAAAGAAGCTCTGAAAAAGTACGAATGGAGGAAGAAAGTCCACTGGTGGAGTGTGAACAGAAAAGCGCAAGTCAAGTTCAGTGGAGTTGAGTTGAGTGCTTTGTGAAGTGAAGTGTGGGTGGTGGGTTGTGTTTGACCGCCGCAGACAAGATGGCCAGCATGCAGGAAGGCAGGAGGAGACATGACTGCAAGCGGCTGCTGGAAGATGGCAAACACTTCAGCGCTTTGCGTTGGCAACGACTGAAACATTCCCAAGCCAGGCAGGTCATCATGTCCAAGAAGGATAAAAGAATTTCCTTCCGTGTGAACGCCACAAAACCGCAGCCAGTAGAAAATGTTGTAAGTAGAGACGCGTTTTCCATGTAAATGCCCTAATCCGTTCCAAGTCCCCCCCGTTCCAACAAATATTGTAGAAAGCATAAAACCAAATCAAAACATGTAACAAATACAGGTTCCAATTAGATTATTGCGCAATAAATGAGAGTTGTGCATAATGTAAAAAAAAAAAAAAAACAAATAGAGTAAAGAATAAAAATGATGGTCATTTAACTTTTAACTGCGTCCTCATCGTTTTTTGCCTTCTTTAGTTCATGTTCTCTCTCAAAGTGTTTTTTGCCTGGCGCTTTGTCACAAAACGATCCAAGGATGTTTGCTTTTGCCTGCTTTTAACAATCCTACGAAAATG